TTTAAAAGATCTTTCAAAGATCTCAAACGTTAACCTTAGATTTTCTTAGAGAGAGTTTTTGTTTTTGAGAGTTTTTGGGGAGACAAGTCTGAAACTCTGTTCCGGAGAGAGAAGATTTCGAACCCCTGTTTATTAATCTATTTACTGCTTACTGCAAGTTATTCAATCATGCTTATTGCTTCAATCTCCATGTCTGAGTAGTTTGCTTGTTAGGTTTAGGGTTCTCATAAAGGATTTCATTGGATGTTAGATTGATTGGTTAGTTAGGGTTCATACTCTATTTAGTTCTTCACCATAGGTTGTTCTTAAAGCTAATTCTGGACTGGCCACCTAGAACTTAGATCTTAGGTTGCTTAATTGACACGGAAGTGTAATTGAATAACTGGAAAGAACCTAGGGTGAGCAAAGTAGCTATTCGCAAAGGAATTTGGTTTAGATACTTTGTGAACATATCGAACTTGAGCATTAAAGCTGGTTTAAATCTTTAGGGTTTGCAAAGGAATTTGGAATTCTAAGATTTTGACTTAGATAATTCTCACAACGGAAGTTGGTTAATTATAATTCTGTGATTCGAGTTCAAGAACTGTACTTAAACCTGAACCCTGACTAATCGATTGATCTGCATGCATTGATTTCCTGAGAAACTCCCTAAGCCTAATCTCCATCCATCTGAATCTTACAAACCGTTTTTATTGCTGCTTAGTCTAATTCTGTTGCATTGCTATTTATTTACAATATTTCTGCTTAGCGTAATTCAATCTCTATAAGGTTTATTGAGTGATCTCATGTCTCTGTGGTTCGACCCCTACATACTACAACTGCACATCTGTGCTCTTGCAGAGTAGCTTAGGGATTAAATTTTGAGCATATCAAGTTTTGGCGCCGTTGCCGGGGACTTGATTTCGCCATTAAACCTAGTTTTTGAGTTTCGACTAAGTTTTTCGACTTAGTGTCGAGCGATACCACTTGTGGTGTCGCGCGACACCTTCTTTTCTTTAACCTAGTTTACTTATTTTCGTTTTCTCTCTTTGTTTTTGGTGTTTCAGGTTTATGCATACTCGTGGAACTAGGAGCAACAAGGACATCCCGCTAGTGAATTTGAGCAACGAACAGCTAGCTGAGTTAGAGCGAACGAGGCGGAAAGCAAGAGATCCGGCAATGATGGAAAACGCCAATGGACTTGTTCGTGATGATGATGGAACCTGGAGAGACCGAGAGGGTCATCTGTGCAATGCGAGAGGCCAAAGGATTGATGGAGATGGTAACATCATTCCACCAGCTCCTTTACCAGTGGATGTAGTTGACCAGAATCCACCACCTGCACCGCGTGGTAATGCTGTGATCGTTCCACATCAGAGGAATGCTTGATATGTTCATAATTTGCATCATTTAGGTTGCATAAATCATTCCAAATCATGTTTTATTTCATGCATTTTAGGTCCTTAGGGTTTGTTTTAGAACTTAGGAGATGCATTAGGTCCCAATCAGTCTATTGCATGTTTTGAGTGTCTATCAGGTGAATGTGGAGCTGAAAAGATGAATCAAGGAGGTGGAATGGTGAGCAAAGCTTGAAAAAGTGGAAAAATTGGGTCCTGGGAGATTATCGGCCATTCTCGCTGGCCAGGAAGGTTTTACCGGCCATTTCCATGTACCGCGGGAAGCTTTACCGGCCATTTTCATGTACCGCGAATGAAGTGTATCGGCCAAAATCTCCGGGTATGAACGTGTCTCAGAAATCGCCTGTCCGGGGAGCCTTCCGGTCCGATTCAGACGGCGGGTGCTTCATAGAAGTTGGAGAGCATTGTATCACGGTCTCTTAGCAAGTGGAATCGTGGAATTCGGACGCGTGAGCAGAGAGATAAGCTTGTCGGAAGGAACCCCAGTCTCGCAGCTATTCCGGACCGAACAGATCAGTCCTAAAGGATGCGAAGGACGGTGCACTTCCAGGCCGATTTAGTTTCCGGGTCCTTCATGAGAACCAGAGACATTTGAGTCTTCTTTCCAGAACGTCCAAGAGCATTCAATTCGGATCTATGAGCAGAAAGATACACTCTCCGGAATGGACACATGTCTAGACGCCTCTCTCTGGTCGCGTACATGCACTGCAAAGATGTGCCCTCCAGGAAGCCTTACACTTCCCAAGCACCGAAGTTTCCTTCACCAAAGTTGGAGATAAATGAGTCCTCTGTCTTCAGCAACCGAAATCATTCAATTCGGACAAGTCTCATAGGAGTTACACTCTCCGGAATGCGAAGTGGTCTAAGCTGCTCTGGATGCTGCGAGATGGTCTTGCGACTTGGTTAACCCGCAGGCCTGAAGATGAACGCCTGAATGCTGATGCTGCGAGTTGATATGTGCGGGTAAACTATCACTGGAAGAGGTCTGAAGCTCAAGAGCAAGAGAAATGCTAAGTCCACAATCGTGCGACTTAGGCATGCGAGTTAGCCGCGCCTGTTGAGCTCATCGAAAACTTGGCATCCAGCAATAGCACCAAGAATGCAGATCTAGAGCGAAAGAAGCAAGCTGGGAACATGGATAGATCGCAGATCGCTGAGGTCAAAGCTAAACTTGATTCTGTGCACAGCCTTTTAGTGGGTAAGAAATCTGTCAGATTCGCACAGGAGGTGGAGAGTTTCGAACCTGAGGATGCAGCTGAGGAAGAGGATGTCAACTTTTTCAGTGGATCAGGATTTCAGGGTCAGAGGTTTGGTAATCAGCAAGGTAACAGAAGCTACAGTGGAAATTACAGTGGAAACAATCAGAGGAATACCTTCAACAGTAATCAGAACTTCTCTGGTTACACGCCTAAGCCTCAGTACCAGAAACCTTTTTCGAGCAACAATTTTTCCAGAAACTACAGCACTCCTTCATCTCAACCTCAAAATCCTGACAATGAGATGAAGTCTATGCTGGAACAGATTCTGGAAGGTCAGCAGAAGCTCACCGTGGACTTTAATGGGAAGATGGATGCTCTCTACCTCGATCTGAATGGAAAAATCGAAGTTCTGAACACCCATGTCAAGCAGCTCGATACACAGGTAGCCCAAACTGCAGGTTCTGTTAAAAGGCAAGAGGGTTTTCTTCCTGGGAAGACTGACACCAATCCAAGGCATCACTGCAGTGCTATCACGTTGAGGAGTGGTAAAAATCTGAGTTCTGAGCCCACGAAGACGCCTCCTACACCTGAAGTCGTGGACTTAGAAGATTCTGAAGAAATTCCTGAGATTGCAGAGCCGGTGACGAGCGACACCATCACTAGTGTCGCGCGTCACCAATTGCAGAGCGAAGCTGTTGATATTCCGAATCCGAAATCTGCAGAGGAGAAAGTCTACAAACCTAAAGTTCCTTACCCAAGGAGCCCTAGGAAGTCCAAGCAAGAGCTTGATGATGCACGATGCAAAGCTCTGATGGAAAAGCTTGTGATTGAGATACCTTTGGTTGATGCTGTAAAAATCACTCCTGTCATCAGACGTTATGTGAAGCGAATGGTAACCAATAATCTCAGCCATGAACAGGGAGTGATGATGATATCTGAGCAAGTCAGTGCAGTGATTCAGAACCGAATTCCAGAGAAGCTGTCTGATCCAGGAAGCTTTGTCTTGGATTGCTCTATCTTCACAGAGAGATTCAAGAGATCGCTGTTTGATCTGGGTTCAAGGGTTAATCTCATGCCCTATTCGGTAGCTGTCAATCTCGGCATGACTGATTTCAAGCCAACAAGGATCTAACTCATCCTAGCTGATCGTTCGACAAGGATACCTGAAGGGGTGCTAGAAGATGTTCCAATCAAGGTTGGAGACTGCATGATACCGACTGACTTTGTGGTTTTGGAGTATGGAGAGGAGCCTAAAGATCCTCTTATCCTTGGGAGACCTTTTCTAGCTACAGCAGGTGCTATTATCGATGTCAGGAAAGGCATGATTGCTCTGAATGTTGGAGATCTGGTGATGAACTTTGACATGGACAAGCTGATGAAGAAGCCCACCATCGATGGTCAGACCTTCTATGTCGATACTCTCACAGAGTTTGCTGAGGAGTTTCTCCATGAGATGCTGCCTACAGACCCACTTGAGAGAGCTCTGACCACGTTTGCCTCTGAGGTCGAACACTTGGACGAAATTTCAGTATCTTACTCAAAGATGTTGGACTCCAGCGAGCATGCGATGCAGCTGGCATCGCAGGTTGAACAGCTTGAGACTCCTGCGAAGGTGAAGCAGTTATCCGACTGGAGTGAGGAGAAAGCCCCTAAGATTGAGTTCAAACAACTCCCTGCAGGACTTAGGTACGCATTCCTGGGCTCTAATTCTACTTATCCAGTCATTATCGATTTTTCTTTGAACAATGCTGAGGTTACCTTACTACTGAGCAAGCTGCGCAAGCATCGCAAAGCTTTTGGCTATTCTCTTGATGATATTTCAGGTATCTCACCAGAATTGTGCATGCACCGAATCCACCTGGAGGATGAGTCGAAGTCGTCGATTGAGCACCAGCACAGGTTGAACCCTAACCTGAAAGACGTCGTCAAAAAGGAGATCATGAAGCTGCTGGAAGCTGGAATCATCTATCCAATTTCAGATAGTGCCTGGGTGAGTCCTGTGCACGTGGTTCCTAAGAAAGGAGGGGTTACTGTTGTGAAGAATGACAAGGATGAGTTGATTCCGACGCGCACAGTGACTGGACACAGGATGTGCATCGATTACAGGAAGCTGAATGCAGCGACCAGGAAAGATCACTTTCCATTGCCCTTTATTGATCAGATGCTGGAGAGACTTGCAAGCCATCCCTACTACTGCTTCCTCGATGGGTACTCAGGATTTTTCCAGATCCCTATCCACCCAGACGATCAGGAGAAGACCACCTTTACATGTCCATACGGCACTTTCGCATATCGCAGGAAGCCCTTTGGACTCTGTAATGCTCCTGCGACGTTTCAGAGATGTATGATGTCCATCTTCACTGACATGATTGAGGATTTCATGGAGGTCTTTATGGATGATTTCTCAGTCTACGGATCATCTTTTAAGGACTGTCTGGATAATCTCTGCAAGGTTCTGGCTCGCTGTGAAGAGAAACACTTGGTCCTTAACTGGGAAAAGTGTCACTTTATGGTCAGAGATGGGATTGTGCTTGGACACAAGGTTTCTGCAGCTGGTATCGAAGTGGACCGTGCGAAGATCGACGTCATGACGAGCTTGCCACCACCCGATTCTGCGAAATCGGTTAGAAGTTTTCTGGGTCATGCAGGCTTCTATCGTCGCTTCATCAAAGATTTCAGCAAGATTGCACGCCCTCTTACTGCTCTGCTCTGCAAAGATGCTAAGTTTGAGTTTACAGATGAGTGCCTTGCTGCGTTCGAACAGATCAAGCATGCCCTGATAAGCGCCCCCATTGTGCAGCCTCCTGACTGGAATTTGCCTTTTGAGGTGATGTGTGATGCTAGTGATTTTGCTGTTGGTGCTGTTCTAGGACAGAAGAAGGATAAAAAGCTTCATGCCATCTACTATGCCAGTCGAACTCTGGATGATGCTCAAAGGAATTATGCTACTACTGAGAAAGAGCTGTTGGCTGTGGTCTTTGCTTTTGAGAAATTTCGGCCATACCTTGTGGGATCGAAAGTGATTGTGCACACAGACCATTCTGCACTCAAAAACTTGATGCGGAAGAAGGATGCGAAGCCTAGGTTGCTGCGATGGGTGTTACTCCTTCAGGAATTCGATATTGAGGTCAAGGACAAGAAGGGTGTTGAGAATGGTGTGGCAGATCATCTCTCACGCATCAGGGTTGAAGACGACGTACCCATAGACGATTTCCTGCGAGAAGAGAATGTGTATTATGTGGAAACCAAGTCCCAGAGCAGTTTGGACGAAGAATTGCAGGTTTTTCGAGTTGGAGGAACGTTAGTGACGAGCGACACCACCACTAGTGTCGCGCGTCACCTTTCTCAGGCGAACACAGAGACCTCCCAAATTCGAAACAGACTTCCTGAGACCAGTTCAGCTGCTGTATCCGCTACCCAACGCCCTTGGTATGCCGATATTGCCAATTATCTCGCTGCAGAGGCTGAGCCTGAGAACTTTAAGGGCTATGCAAAGAAGAAGTTCTTGAGAGAGCTGCGAAGATACCACTGGGATGAGCCATATCTGTACAAGCACTGTTCTGATGGGATTTACAGAAGATGCATTGCAGAGTCAGAAGTTCCAGAAGTGCTGTTTCATTGTCATGGATCCGAATATGCTGGACACTTTGCAACATTCAAAACAGTGTCTAAGGTTCTTCAAGCAGGCTTCTGGTGGCCCACCATGTTTCGCGACGCACATGCATTCATCTCGCAGTGCGATGCTTGTCAGAGGAGAGGAAAGATCAGCAAAAGACATGAGATGCCACAGAATTTCATCCTTGAGGTTGAGGTATTCGACTGCTGGGGTATCGATTTCATGGGTCCTTTTCCCTCTTCTTATGGGAACAAGTACATCCTGGTTGCTGTTGATTATGTCTCAAAGTGGGTCGAAGCCATTGCCAGTCCCACCAACGACTCTTCAGTGGTCCTTAAGATGTTCAAGACCATCATCTTTCCTCGATTTGGAGTGCCTCGAATTGTTATAAGTGATGGTGGTACTCACTTTATTAACAAGATTTTTGAAAAACTCCTAAGGAAGCATGGAGTTCGTCATCGAGTTGCCACTCCTTATCACCCTCAGACGAGTGGACAGGTCGAAGTCTCAAATCGACAGATCAAAGAGATTCTGGAGAAGACAGTGCGAAAAACTCGAAAGGATTGGGCTGCGAAGTTGGACGATGCACTCTGGGCGTACAGGACAGCGTTCAAAACACCTCTAGGCACCACACCTTTCCACCTGCTCTATGGAAAGCCCTGTCACCTTCCAGTGGAGATCGAACACAAAGCAGCCTGGGCGATAAAGCTGATGAATTTCGACATCAAGTCTGCTGCAGAGAGGAGACTGATACAACTGAATGAGTTGGACGAAATCAGGTACCATGCCTATGAGAATTCGAAGTTGCACAAAGAGAGGACCAAGGCGTATCACGATTCCAAAATCCTCTCCAGGCAATTCGAACCGAATGATCAGGTAATTCTGTATAATTCTCGTTTGCAATTGTTTCCTGGTAAACTTCGTTCTCGATGGTCAGGTCCTTTCATAGTCAAAGAGGTTCGCCCCTATGGTGCTATCGTCCTCCTCACACCAGATGGTAGCAGGGAGTTCACAGTCAATGGACAAAGGGTGAAGCACTACTCGGCCAAAGCTGAGATTCCGGATGGACATATCGTGCCTCTGGATGGTGCACCTCCTGCTTGAATCGCCATCAAGTCAAGCTAATGACTTAAAACAAGCGCTTGGTGGAAGGCAATCCACTGGTGAGTCTGTAAATAAGTCTTTTGTTTCAGTGATTTTCGTTTTTCTTTTCGTGTTTTAGGTGAAGCAGAGGCTGGTGTCGAGCGACACTACCTTCGGTGTCGCTTGTCACTTGTTTTCTCTATATATAAAAACAAAAAAAAAAAAAAAAAATTAGGAAATCAGGAAACCGAAGTCAAACCAGAAATTCGGATTGGTCTGCTGCAATTCGGTACGAGGAAAACAAGTGTCGCACGATACCATCATCAGTGTCGCGCGTCACCATCATTGCAGCCAGGTAAGTTATCTGTTTTTCCTGTGTTTCTCTGTTTCTTTTCTTTTGTCACCAACTTCGGATTTGATTACACTGGGGACAGTGTTATTCAAGTCTGGGGGAGGTAGTTGCTGACATTGTGTTTGTTTTTTTTAAGAGTCAGTTGTGTCAAAACGTTTTTAAGTCAAAACCTGTTGGAGATCATGATGCTTTTCCTGGAATTATTGTGCTGACTTTTCACCTAAGTGACCACTGCTGCAAATTCAGACTAGATCCGACTAATGAAAAATCCAAAGGCTGACCAGTTGACTAGAGGCGTCCATGTTTCCAACAGAATCCACTAACCTGAGCTAAGTACTGAACTTCACTTTTAACTCGCTGATGTGACTAATGCCTTAGAGCTTGATTCCTTATTCGTACTTGATCAATGAAAGCCTGTGTGAAATTTAATGAAGTGATTTCTCTCCCTTGTGACGAGCTAAGAAAGAAAGAAAAATGGCAAAAAGATTGAGATGATTTTCACTTAGGAGTGAAGGGCTAAGAATGTTTCCAATGATCCCATTATTTCACTTCTAAGTTGGAATGATCACACAAAGGAAGGAAGTGAGGGGTAGGAATGTTTCCCATGACCCCACTATTCGCTGAAAACCTTTGATACAAGGTAAGGGGACAACTTGGGGACTTGGTGGCAAACACCATCAGTACTCGCAGCTTTACCCTTATCGAGTATATGCCATAAAAAAATGATGATGAGTGTGCGAAAAGAATAAGTCTGGGGGAGAGAAAAGTACCAAAGTTTGTATGGCTGATTTGTTTGAGTACAGAATGGGAAAGAATCTAGTAGGTTCTGGGCATTGGAATCATCAGTGAGATCCAGCGATGAGGGTTTATGGACAATGTTGTGAAATTTTGGATTTAGTCTGGAAAGCTGTGAATGTCTGCGGAGAAGTACATGGTGGTTCGATTTGGAATGATGAAGCAGTAGTTAAGTTGCAGGGTGAACGGTCAAAGCGATGTTCCAATGAAAGGTTGAGTCTCTGTGTTTTCAAACTTCTTTCTCCTGTTTGGTGTTCTGTTTGCTTGAGGGCAAGCAAATGCTAAGTCTGGGGGAGTTGATATATCATGGTTTTTATGGTTTTTAACCATGGTAAATGTCTTATTTATAGAGTCTTTTTAGTGTCTTTCGAGTCTTTTGGAGTCTTTTCAGGTCATAGGTACGTTTGGAGCTTAACTGGAGACTTTGGAGCACTTTGGAGCTTAATCAGGATCAAATTCGTCAAGTATGGATTTTGTGCTTTAGTGACGCTCGACACCATGGAGAGTGACGCGCGACACTTGTTAGAGAAATAAGGAAAAGGCGATTTTGTTTCCTATTTGAAGAAGGAGTTGGGCCCAAACGTTTTCAAGGAAGCCCAAAACGTGTCTTAGAGATATATATATAGGATTTTTATTCCCTTTTTACGTTAACCTTAGATTTTCTTAGAGAGAGTTTTTGTTTTTGAGAGTTTTTGGGGAGACAAGTCTGAAACTCTGTTCCGGAGAGAGAAGATTTCGAACCCCTGTTTATTAATCTATTTACTGCTTACTGCAAGTTATTCAATCATGCTTATTGCTTCAATCTCCATGTCTGAGTAGTTTGCTTGTTAGGTTTAGGGTTCTCATAAAGGATTTCATTGGATGTTAGATTGATTGGTTAGTTAGGGTTCATAATCTATTTAGTTCTTCACCATAGGTTGTTCTTAAAACTAATTCTGGATTGGCCACCTAGAACTTAGATCTTAGGTTGCTTAATTGACACGGAAGTGTAATTGAATAACTGGAAAGAACCTAGGGTGAGCAAAGTAGCTATTCGAAAAGGAATTTGGTTTAGATACTTTGTGAACATATCGAACTTGAGCATTAAAGCTGGTTTAAATCTTTAGGGTTTGCAAAGGAATTTGGAATTCTAGGATTTTGACTTAGATAATTCTCACAACGGAAGTTGGTTAATTATAATTCTGTGATTCGAGTTCAAGAACTGTGCTTAAACCTGAACCCTGACTAATCGATTGATCTGCATGCATTGATTTCCTGAGAAACTCCCTAAGCCTAATCTCCATCCATCTGAATCTTACAAACCGTTTTTATTGCTGCTTAGTCTAATTCTGTTGCATTGCTATTTATTTACAATATTTCTGCTTACCGTAATTCAATCTCTATAAGGTTTATTGAGTGATCTCTTGTCTCTGTGGTTCGACCCCTACATACTACAACTGCACATCTGTGCTCTTGCAGAGTAGCTTAGGGATTAAACTTTGAGCATATCAGCGTTGGTACTGCGGTCTGGTTTCCCGTGCCAGCCGCCGCACCTTCCTTATTTTCAGCACCTTTATCCGATGTCTCGGCAAAGTCCTCACGACCCATCGCCTCCTGACCATCCTGGTCAACCATCGGTCTTTTCCCGTTGCTCTTCTCTCTTTCCCCAGCCTCAGGTTCGGTGGGGTTGAGAGCAGGCTCTTCATCCACATTGGCCTGACTTGGTTCGGCATTCTCCTTATTCTTTTTACTTTTTCCCGTCTTGTTGCTTTTACCCATCTGCAGAAATCGTTTAGTTAGTGCATCCTAACTATTACCAAGATCTCTAGACAAGCCTAAGCAACAACCTAGCGCAAGACCCTTTAGCCGATGAGTGGTGTACCCAAAACCCAACAGAACTGTCCTAGGAGCAAGCATGCTCTGATACCAACTTGAAACACCCCATCCCGAACTCTAAGCCCGTGGAGGTTGTTCCCGGTCGGACCGCTATACGGCTCCGACCCCATCAGTCCAATTTTAGGGTCAAGTCCTTTGTTTAAGTCATATTCGATATGTGTATTCTGAGATTCACTAAGTTAGAGTCAATATGTATTTATAGAAGACAGAAATGGATATTTTATTGATATAATAAAGGATTCATTACAACTTATGAGTCTGCATATAAGCTATTATAAGAGTACATGATCCTATCTATCCGTTTCAATACACCACTCATCCGCTTGGCTAACTGGTCCGCGCGCCTAGGCCAAATCCCTTCTTGGATCGCCATCCTTTCCTGAAAGGTCAATAGTATAAGTCTATGCAATTTTGGCTAAGTATATGCATGCACATGAATGCATTTCATGCCTATGATTCCCGACCCGAATTTGACCCACGATGACTATTCTAATCCGGATCATGGATCAGCCTTGGACAGGCCGAGTCTTGGCGAGATCCGTTCGGACTCCCAAGCCGCTCAACCGTCGCGCCAACCAGATCCGGTCCATATCCGTACGACCAATCGCGCATCATCGCCGGCCCAATCTCAATTCCATGTGATATGTTCATAATTTGCATCATTTAGGTTGCATAAATCATTCCAAATCATGTTTTATTTCATGCATTTTAGGTCCTTAGGGTTTGTTTTAGAACTTAGGAGATGCATTATGTCCCAATGAGTCTTTGCATGTTTTGAGTGTCTATCAGGTGAATATGGAGCTGAAAAGATGAATCCAGGAGGTGGAATGGTGAGCAAAGCTTGAAAAAGTGGAAAAATTGGGTCTTGGGAGGTTATCGGCCATTCTCGCTGGCCAGAAAGGTTTTACCGGCCATTTTCATGTACCGCGGGAAGCTTTACCGGCCATTTTCATGTACCGCGAATGAAGTATTTCGGCCAAAATCTCCGGGTGTGAACGTGTCTCAGAAATCGCCTGTCCGGGGAGCCTTCCGGTCCGATTCGGATGGCGGGTGCTTCATAGAAGTTGGAGAAGACTTGATCACGGTTTCATAGCAAGTAGAATCGTAGAATTCGGACGCGTGAGCAGAGAGTTAAGCTCGTCGGAAGGAACCCCTGTCTCGCAGGTATTCCGGACCGAGCAGATCAGTTCTGAAGGATGCGAAGGACGGTGCACTTCCAGGCCGATTCAGTTTCCGGGGCCTTCATGAGAATCAGAGACATTTGAGTCCTCTTTCCAGAACATATGAGATCAGTCAATTCGGAGCTTTGAGAAGAAAGATACGGTCTCCGGAATGGACACATGTCTAGACGCCTCTCTCTGGTCGTGTAAATGCACTGCAAAGATATGCCCTCCAGGAAGCCTTACACTTCCCAAGCATCGAAACTTCCTTGACCAAAGTCGGAGATAAATGAGTCCTCTGTCTTCTGCAACCGGAATCACTCAATTCGGACAAGTCTCCAGGAAGTTACACTCTCCGGAATGCGAGATGTCCCAGACAGCCCAGAGCAACTAAGTTAAGCATGCCGCGATAGAATGCCACGGTCCACACTTGGCCGTGGCAACTTTTGTGCACCCTCGGCAAATGGCACGATCTTCATGCCACGGTCTACACTTGACCGTGGCAAACACACACTTGGCTGAGAGGAACTTCTTGCAACCTTCGGCGATTGACACGGCCAAAATGCCACGGTCTGAGGCTTGACCGTGGCAACTTCTTGCAACCTTCGGCGATTGGCACGAGCTGAATGCCACGGTCTGGGACTTGACCGTGGCAAATGAACAAGTGGCTGGAGACAACTTCTACACAGTTTCGGCTTTTGACACGATTTCAAAGCCACGGTCTGAGACTAGACCGTGGCAAACATATACTTGGTTGGGAAGGACTTCACATGCATGCGGGTTTTGGCACGGTCTGAATGCCACGGTCTGGGGGCTTGACCGTGGCAACCTTTACACAT